CTGCGCGGCGTCTCCGGGCACTTCCCGCACCATTCAACAAGGGTGCTTAGTAGGGGGATTTGTAGGGTCCTATGTTTGGGTTTAGGGTTTAAGGGTTTAAGGGTTTAGGGTTTAGGGTTTAGGGTTCATGGTCATATGAGTCATGTGGGTGTTGTATATGTAGGAGCTTTCCGCTGCCTCTTACCAGTCCTGAAACCCTAAAGTAGCTGTAACAGAGACTACATCCTTGGGGACCAAATGACCCTTATAAGTTGGTATATGAACCTGATACCCTTTTGGGGTTCATTTCGTCTTTAAGGATTATGGGTCTCAGCCTTGTGGGTTTGGTTTTTTCGACCTAGATAGGGTGTATGCATTTAGATCTTCTCTTTCTTCGGCGTAAGGCCAGGGTGTTAGCCTTTGAACAGCCAGTGAAACGGCGAGCAATATTTTGAGTCGTGGCGTCGGAATACTGCAGCACGCAGCTTAAGGCAGTGTGATGCTGCTGAGGTGGTGGCAGTGGTAATTGTCGGGTGTGGGTTTCAGGGTCAAGGTTTGGGGTGCCGCCCGCGTTGGGTCTTACTGTGTCTTTGCTGGCAGCAGAATAAGCATTGTTATTTCGTCATGTCTTTCTTCTTGGATTACGAAAGAGGGGTCCCCGTGCGTGAAACTGCCCGAGCATCTGCTAACGAACTCCTCTTGCACAGCTTCGCAGTCGTCGTGCCCCGTGAGAAAAACAGGATGGAATGCTGGCAGATGCATGGGTCAGCATGTGCCTACTTCTTCGGCACTGATGCTAACGGTCTTTTGCAAGGGTTTTGATAGTCGAGTCGAGAGGACACGGCTTGGGTTTAGACCTAGGCTGCTGCACAGCTGGATTGAGCCACAATGTCTGTGTCTTACTCGTGGTCATGGATGCTGCTCGACTCGTGCGCTTCAGGGGTCATCGCCTGACTGCAGATGTAGGACTATCGTGCAGGGTGTACTGCTTAAAACCGGAACAACAGTAGATCCAGGTCGCCTCAGGTATTTGTTCAATCGTGTGTGCGCGCGTGTGTGTGTGTG